CTGAATGTGGTGATGAACTGTTGTCTAGTCTGAATGTGGTGAAGAACCGTTGTCTAGTCTGAATGTGTTGATGAACTGTTGTCTAGTCTGAAAGTGGTGATGAACTTTTGTCTAGTCTGAATGTGGTGAGGAACTGTTGTCTAGTCTGAATGCGGTGATGACCTCTTGTCTAGTCTGAATGTGGTGATGAACTGTTGTCTAGTCTGAATGTGGTGATGAACTGTTGTCTAGTCTGAATGTGGTGATGAACTCTTGTCTAGTCTGAATGTGGTGATGAACTCTTGTCTAGTCTGAACGCAGTGATGAACTGTTGTCGAGCCTCAACACGATGACTAATAGTTGTCCCACCTGAACACGGTGATGAACTGCGGTGTGAGCAGCTGAGGCCTCAGACCTTTGACCTCTGCAACGTTTCCTAAAAGTCCCAACATGTTTCGGTGAAGCTCCTGTTTGTCTGGAAACTCCTGGTGTGAAACAAACAAACAAACAAAAAGTAGAGTCAATAGAGAGCGGTGAGTTGCAGGTTGTGTCTCCAGACGAAGAGCTGTACTCGCCTGCAGACACTCTAGGAACAGACTCATGCCCCGACAGTTCAGGAACATCTGACAGTTGTCGGGCGTCTCGTCGGTGATGTTCCACAGAGCACTCCAGGAGAACTCCATCACCTGGTCGCACTGACAGTACATAAACACACAAACATTTTGCTTACAGGTAAACAACCCATACTTTACATTTGGACCCTTCAGGAGAGATGGAGACTCACCGTTCGGTCCTGCAGCTTCTTTTGGATTAAATTCAACATAGTCTAAAAATAGAAATTAGACAGAAATCAGATTACAAGTGTCACACTGAGTGCTGAAATCAGCTGAAGGAGCTGAAACTGTAGTTTAAAGCACAAGACAAGCTAAAAGCTAAAGTATCCAAAGCTTACTAAATGCTAAAAGTAGCCTAAGAAGAGAGAAACAAGAGTTTAACGGCTATAAACATTATTTATGTCATTATTTGATATGTTTTGTTTACGTATGGTTGACATTAGTTATTTATATGAATATTGATTTGTTTTGTAAGTTACACCATGACAGAACCGTTGTATAGTTCTATGTTGCACTGGGGGCATTTTAAGGTGTTGCAACCCTCTTCCAAGAAAGCATGTGCAGCAGGAAAAGTTTTATACTTTGCCTAAAGATTTGGGAGGTTACATTGCCCATTTTCTTTTGAAGATTTACTTTTGTTCCAACAAACTCGTTCCCCCTTTGGTTGTGTACAGACAGCGAGGTATGTTTATTTGTGTTATGCTTCATTGTGCACATTTGTAATAAATTTGTGTGCAATATATGAATATGCATATTTTGTACATTGTTATGTATTTTGAGCAGTTCTATGGTGGATTTGATGACCATACAGTGACTTAAGTGCTGTTCAGATGAATAAATCCATCAATAACAGAAGGACTAAAGTGTTGTCTATTTCCTGGAGGGAGTGATACAGAGTCTATCCTGAAGCAGATTTCAAACATAAAAAAAAAAAAAGATTTATTCCTCAGAAGGTCGTTTTTTTTTCATTCAACCTTTATTTATACAGGTTATTCCCATTGAGCCACGAGGACTCATTTACAAGAGAGACCTGGATTTTAACCAAGAGTGATGGCAACAATGGACAACAACGACAACAATAGACATTCACAAATTATTCATACAAATTTAAGTTGTTTTGGGTATTTTTCAATTGAAAGCAAAATGATAATTAAAAGGAGAAAGAAATGTAGCGAAAAACAGCAAGATTACGAGGCGATGTAGAAAACTAAAAACAGTTTTCTAATTATGGGGCAACACTCTCCTTAGCCTCCCTGATAAGGTCTATTCAGGGGTACTGGAGAAGCGAGTCCGATCACTGGTTGAACCTCAGATCCAGGAGGAACAACGTGGGTTCTGTCCTGGCCGTGGAACACTGGATCAGCTCTGTACCCTCACTAGGGTCCTCGAAAGGTCAAGGTAGTTTGTCCATCCAGTCTACATGTGTTTTGTGGACTTGGAGAAGGCATTCAACCGTGTTCCTCGGGGTACACTGTGGGGGGTGCTCTGTGAGTTTGGGACTGGTAGCCCGTTTTTACGGATTGTTCAGTCTCTATACAAGCGGTGCGAGAGTTTGGTTCTCATTGCCGGCAGTAAGTTGGACCCCTTCAGGGTGGGAGTTGGACTCCGTCAGGGCTGCCCATTGTAACTTTAATGGACAGAATTTCTCGGTGCAGCCAGCTGGCAGAGGGTTTACAATTCGGTGGCCTCAGGATTCATCTCTGCTCTTTGCAGATGATGTGGTCCTGTTGGCGTCATTGTGCCGCGACCTTCATCTCTCACTGGAGCGTTTCGCAGCAGAGTGTGAAGCGGCTGGGATGAGAATCAGCACCTCCATAATAAAGATAATGGATGGATTGATGAATTTATTTTTATTTGGAATCAGAACTGCATTTATATTGAATCTTACTCAGGTCGATGTTCCCCCTCAGGAAGACTGGCGAGCGGCAACGTTACTTTTAATTCTGACAACGTTAAATAACTTTAGAAGAAATCTTAGGCTTTGTTAGAAACAATCGTCTTTATTAACAACACCTATATATATATATATATATATATATATATATGTATATATATATATAT